ATAATAAAAATTATAAGCTTTTGTATTATATATATATATATATATATATATATATATTACTTTCCCTTTTATTGTGAATCTATACATCCAAAATTATGTGAAAAAGCAAACCATTTTTATGCATTAAATTTATAATAATAACACCAAAATTTAAATTTAAAATTTTATACATATTATCTAACCTTCCATCACGAAGTCAATTTTAATAATTAAACAAATGAACCATAATTATTTAGTGGTGTGAAAATGTTTTAAAAAAAACATTTTTTAAGATCAAAAGTGAGAAGGAAATAAAAAATGTTGCTAATATGCATACTTTAATAGTGATAAGAATCATTTATAAGATTGAGATCAACAATTTTTTTACGACCAAAATGATCCAAAATTGAAATCATATTTTATTCATGATATTATTAATTTATTCTCCAAGTCTTCAATAAAAAACTAAAAAAAAGTCTCTAATTAATCACCTATATTATACAATATAATGTTAAAACTAAAATGTTCGCTTTGCGTTCCATTTAATTATTTTTTGTTTGATTCCTTAAATAGTAATTTTAAGCAAAGTCTTGTTGGACTAGTTCTCTTAATAAGTTAACTAGGTTGCAGACATACATGTAGTTGGAAAAAGATATATCAAAGTTAATTTCAATTTGTTGCTATCAGTGTGACAGTGTCCCGTTTTTGACAGAAGAAGTATTAATTGGTATCGTGTTTGTTGATAGGGCATCTAAATTTACTCAGATAATAGGGTGGAAGGTGCAGTAGAGAGTGGCTACGAAATGATAAAAATATTTGATGTTGAGAAACCTGTTTGGTGGAACCCGCCTGCGGATGTTCTGCTTCAGCTGCACATTAATTACAGCAAGCGTGTGCATGCATTCGACCTTCTTAAAATGAAACTCCAATCATGTACTCCAAATAGCCAGCAAATCTCCTCCCCTTAAAATTTTGGTCTTCAACATCCCATGCTTTAGACAACTAACACTGACGCAACAAGAATGTTCATCAACTGATCCATTTTGCTTTGGACCAGGATTGCCACTATTACAGTTTTTACTACTACTTTTTTTTTTAATTATTTTTTTTATTTTGACAATTATCAAACAATAAATAATATATATATCATATTAGATTATTAAGATTATTGAGTTTAAATTATATTTGGATTCATTAACGTTAATTAGAGGTTGCAGTACAATAATTTTTCTTAGTCTCATCAAATTCTGTAAATATGATTAAATGTTTCTCTTGTGATGAAAAGAGAGACATTCTTTTAATTTATTTTATTGTGGATCAAGATCATCTTTGCAATTTTAAATCTATTAAGGTTTTGAACCAAATCCGATTTATACTTATTGAGTCCACATGAGTTTTTCCTATTAGTAGTCCAAAGATTTACTAAAATTAGATTACTTTTATTGAGCCTAACTAAATGTAAACAACTAATATAAATGCTACAAATAATATATATATCACATATTAAATATTAGATGTAAAATTTCTAATAATCTCATACTTTTACTTCATATTCATTTAAGTATTTATATCATAAAAAATTTTAGACGCACAACCATATGTTATTTATCTTTAGACTTCTCTTAAACAATCTGATATATCTCGCACAACAATAGAGCATCACTATAACTTTCGTTATAACTCAATGTGATTAAACCACAATGATTACCATAATTGTATGTACTCAATGACATAGATCAAACATGAATAAGTGATATGAAAATTACAAGCAATGTGATCTTAGTCATGTCTACTTCCAATTGGTTCAAACTTTATTCTTTATAGAGATCAGTTCAAATGCAACATAAATATTGCACACAAAGCAAGTTCAGAATTGAATAAATAACATTATTTATTTCTACAAAAAATCTAATCAATACAAAATGCATGTAAAAGAACAAAACAGTGAACATAATCGGAGCTTCCACTAAATTAAGGTACTACAAGAAACTACATCTATATGAGCAATGTGCTCATGAAAAACTCTAGACACTAAACCCTTATTAAGTGAATCTACTAGCATAAAGTCAATCCCCATATGTTCTATTGAAATTTGCTTATTCCAAACTATTTCCTTAACAATCAGAAACTTGATATCAATGAATTTTGACTTGGTTGTACTCCTATTATTATTGGAATATAGAACTGTTAAGTTATTGTCCCAATAAATTTTCAGTGGCTTTTCAATGCCATCAATCACATATAAATTAATGACAAAATTTCGTAGTCATATCCCATGGTTGGATGCTTCAACACAAGTAATAAACTACACAATCATGGTTAAAGAAACTATAATAGTTTATTTAACAAATTTCCAAAAGATAGTTCCTCCAACCAACATAAAGGTGTAACTAGATGTTGAGTGTTTGCTATCTTGACATCTAGCAAAAACAAAGTTTGAATATCCAATGATCTTTAAACTATCATCCTTCTGATAAGTGAGCATGTACCTTTTTGTTCTACTGGCTATTGGAACATCTATTTATTTACTATCTTTCATGTTGAATCTATCCAAAACTTTATTGACATAGCTCTCTTATGATAACCTTAGAATACTATGAGAACGATTTTTTAGTATCTTAACGCCTATTACAAAGTAGACTTCACAAAGATCTTTCATTTCAAAATTCTTTATTAGAAATCTCTTGATTTCGTACAAGAACCTATATCACCACTAGCAAGTAGTACATGATTGGCATATAACACCAAGAATATATGTATTCTTAAAAAGAAAATATAAAGAAAAGTAAGTTGAATCTAATGTATGTTATAATCGAGGGATTTGCTTCCAATTTCTTCTATCTTATTTTCCTTCTCAAAACTGTTACATCATTATATGTTATATTATATATATTATTATCTTAAAAAGAGATTTGTCATGCATCATGCACGCTGCATGCAGCATGTTTAACAAGGAGGTTTTGACACCTTTTTCCTAATATTTGGTCATTAAAATATTCGTTCACTTTTTGTGAAATGATTTCCTTTAAAACATTCGTTCTATTTTTAGTTGTTAAATCTTAAGGGAGGGACAAATATACTATTTCTATTTTTTTGGGTTATGAGGATATAAATCAAGGGCCCGCACAAAGATAGCCGAAATCGAGCCCAAAACTATTGAAACCAATAGACTCATGATATATACACCTCCTTTTTTTAATAAGTATACCTCCTTTAAATTTAAAAAAAAAATTATAAAATATTATAATTTTTTTTTCTAAATTCTAATTTTATATCTTTAACTTTTAATTTGCTACTTTCTTCTTTTCTTCACATACTTTTTTTTCTCTTTTAGTTTTTATATGCTACCAAAATAGGTGAGGTGAAGAAAAAGTAAGGGGGTGCATGTAAAAATTGAAAAAAAGAGAAATAAAATATGAAAAAAAATATATTAAATTAAATATTGTGGATGTAAAATTAAAAAATATAAAATGCAAAATTAAAAAAATTAAAAATATTTTAAATTTTAATTATTTTTAAAAAAAAAGAGGTATACTTATAGAAAAAAGGAGGTGTATATATCATAAACCAAACCAATATCCCTGTACTGTATGCATATCATCTGGACTCTCAAAATAAGAATAAAAAGGCTTTTCGCTATACAGTCATTGTTTACTAAATACACCCTCTTACCTTATTTTTTTGCTATACTAATATAATATCTACATATTTTTATTTATTTATTTATTTTTAAATACTCATTGTTTGTCGAATTTCCTTACTCGTGGAAATGTTGCTCCCATATATTTATCCACAGTGTTACCTAGATATTCAAAGAGGTGTAGTTAGTAAAAGCCAAATATAAATAACAAAAGCTGAATGAAAATACGGGTCAAAATTGGGCCAGCCCAAACAGAAGAAGGACATTAAACTAGGGTTTATAAAAAGTAGGGTTAAGTACTTGAATTCGTCCCCTCCGTTGCGCTGTCGAGCTTAGATTCTGAGTTGCTTCCATAGCCGGCGCTGAACGACATGGCGGACAAGGCAGTCACAATCAGAACCAGAAAGTTTATGACTAATAGGCTTCTCTCTAGGAAGCAATTCGTACGTTTTTTCATTTTTTTTTTCTTATTTTGTTTCTTGTTTCGATTTCGGATCTTCGCATCACATAATGCATCTAATTTTTGTAGAGTTCCCTTTATTGTCTCAATCGAGGCGCAATTAGGTTGCTGTTTCATCAGAATAATATACAATTTAATTCAATCACAGCTAGATAATTGTGTCATTATGAACACTCCTAATTGTGATACGGAATATTGAGTGTTGAACTTGAACCTCTTGATCCGAGCTGGCATTGTTTTCTAGGGTTTTAGCGGCTAACCTTTTAGTTGTATGATGCAGGTTGTTGATGTCCTTCATCCAGGGAGGGCTAATGTTTCCAAGGTATAATTTTCTTTTATGGTTTTTTGTGTGTGATGATAGAAATTCTGAAGCTGCTAATTTCTTACTTGAGCAGATGAATGTTATGTATTTGATCTATTATTGGTTGAAAATTGTGTTGCCTTGTGGTTTTTAATTTGCTGTGTTTGGTGTGAAGGCTGAACTGAAGGAGAAACTGGCAAGAATGTATGAGGTGAAGGACCCTAACACTGTATTTGTCTTCAAGTTCAGAACTCATTTTGGTGGTGGCAAGTCCACTGGGTTTGGCTTGATTTATGATACAGTTGACAACGCAAAGAAGTATGAGCCTAAGTACAGGCTTATCAGGGTGAGTTCACTAAAACTTTCTGTGTTCATTATGATTATAATTTGCCCCTTTTGTTCAAATAATGTTTTATTAGATTGTTTGTTTAGAAATAATGTAGCAATTCCTTTCCATCATCCCTGCTGATACTGTTCTGTTGGCTTTTCCTTTTGAGTTGGATCTTTTGTGAACTTGTAAGTTTGTAAGTGCTAGTGGACAAAATGTATTTCATATTTTGTTATAAGCTGTAACATTGAAGGATTTTCAAGAGAATTAGTTGAATGAATGTGCCTACAAACAAAACTAAATTCCTTTTCTACTTATTAGTTTTGAAGACATCATAAATTGCTCTGTATTGTTGACGTCTGCTCAGAGTGTTTTGTGGGTATTAACTATTAATGGATCCTTTTAATATGTATGTTTGTGACTAATGGTGCCCTTTTCTTGGTGCTTACAAAATTTTGTGCTTGCAAGTTGTGACTTTAGTAGCTCAGGTCTTACCATTCTTATATCCTGTCACTAATGCTTGTGTTCTTTATGATATTTGAGAATTACATTTTATTTTGGTTTCTTTGTGTGGTTTTTCTTTGGTATGAACACAACTAAACTCTCTTTCATTGCAGAATGGACTTGATACCAAAGTAGAGAAGTCGAGGAAGCAAATGAAGGAGAGAAAGAACAGAGCTAAGAAGATTCGTGGTGTAAAGAAGGTAATACACTTGTGTATTATTAACTATTGTTTACTTCTTTTATCATTATTGTTTTATAAAAGAATAACTGATGGTGTTTTTTTTTTTTTGCAGACCAAGGCTTCCGATGCTGGTAAGGGTGGAAAAAAGAAATGAGTTTTGAGACATCGTGTTCTGATTTCAAGGTTCTTTTGCTTTTGGTATTTTCTAATGGTTATTTTATTTTCTAATAGCTTTTCTAGAATGAGATATTTTGCTGTAAGTGTTATCCTACTTTAATTGATGCTCAGTTATAACTTGAGATCGAGTACTGGAATGATCAATTTTGAGAATTCAGTTGAACACTTTGTTTCTTTCATTTTTTTAGTAGATTGTGATAATGAATTCTAATGTTGCTTGATTTTGGATGGAGCAGTCAAATATTGATAGAAAAGGATTTTAATTTTTTAATGTCTCGTTGAAAACATTCTTCTGTCTATCTACAGAAATATATGAAATGTTACTTGTTTTGGGGAGTGACTATCTGTTGGAATGTGGAGGGTCTTCTGGCATGAACTCGTAATTCGCATTGAATATGATTGTGCAGTATTGCACACACGAACACAATTTCAATACCGTGTAAGTTTTGTTTCGTGTAAAAATTTGAGCTAATAAAGTCTTTTTAGTTATATTTCATTTTAATTTTTAATCCTTTTTAATTTAAAAAATAAAAATTGTTAAATTCTAATTGAAATTATAATAAAAAGATAGTATTTTATTTTATAACTAAATTTATAATCTAAATTTTTATCTTTGTTTCCTTCAAAGTCACCACCACCATTTTAATAGTTATCATTTTCTAATTTTCAGATGTTTTATTATTTTTCTTACATTTTCACACAAAAGGCTTTTTCAATAAGCTTTTTTTAGATGCAATGTTTTTCCTTTCTCTTTTCTTCTTAGTTATTCTCTATTTCTTTTTTCTCAATCTTTCGGTTTTGTTTTCATCTTCTTTATTTTTATTTGATGTTCATATTATATTCATGTATTTTATTTGTGGTTCACAATCACACAGATAGATTTGCGTTTAATAGTTTTAGCGTTTACTTTTTCTTTCATTGCTACAGATAGTGTTAAAAATACTCTTCTTTTTTATTTGATTTGATTAAAGAGTTTAAGATTCTTTGTTCTTCTCAATATATTTTAATGGAGTTTAGGGATTCTTTATTTTAGGGTTTCTAGGATTTTTTATGGATTGATTCATTGATTGAAATTACTATAGTCTTTTTACTAATTTGTTAGTTATTTCTAAAGTTTTTAATTTATCAAATTATCTAAAGTTAAAAATTAAAATTTTACATGTCAATTCCAAATATTTTTTACCAAAAGATAATTCTATTATAAAATTAGTTTTTAATTTATTAAATTATCCAAAAAAAATTAAAATTTAAACATGCCTGCCACCAATAAAATATTACTAAAATAATTATGATATTTGCAATTTTTTACATAAAGATAATTCTTTTATAAAATTTTAAGTTTATCAAATTATTTAAAAATTTAAATTTTAAATATGTTAGTTACAAAAACAATCATCTAAATAATCAAATTATCTATAATTAAAAATTATAAAATTTGTACGTTAATTAAAAAAAATCATCAGAAGATAATTCTATTATAAAACTAGTTTTTAATTTATTAAATTATCTACAAATTAAAAATTTTAACAATGATAGTTATAAAAAAACATTAAACTAAAAATTTTAAATTTTAAATGTCACTTACAAATTAATCATAAAAATAATTACGGGATTTGTAAATCTATTTCACTTGAAGATAATTCTATTAAAAAGAAAGAAACTTTTTGTTTAAGTTCAATTATTATGTATTTTTCATAGTTTAATTTTAAAATAGTTAACTGAAGAATAAAATGATTTCAATTATTTTGTAAATAGACTTATATAATTCATTTATTCAATTAGATAGAGTATGGTATTTATATTTTATATGACATTATGTATTCTTTAATTAAATGATTTTAATCAAAGGTAAAATGACCTATTAAATGAATTCATTTGTGTCTAATATAAAATTTGTGTCGTATTATATTTTTTTTCTTTGTACACATTTTTATTTTATTATTTTATTCTAATTTAATATAAAATCAGTAAAGTGTAAGAAGTTAAAAAAATTCTTAAAAACTCATTAAAAAAAAAAAGTTCCTAAAAATACTCTTATGTAAGATAGAAAATTATATTTAATATATATAAATTAATTATTTTAATAATTCTTATTTAATAAATAATTAGAAAAAGAAAATATCCATGCATACACGTGTTATTTCTTAATTTGAACTAAAGTAAATATAAACTTGCTTCGATATTAGCTGAATATCCAAACTTTAATTATAAACTTGATTCGATATGGGCTGAATATCCAAATTTGTCCGTAAGTACCAATCTCTATTTATTCTTTATACAATTCAAGAGGAACCAAGTTCCGAAGGTGGCACGTTTTTTATTCTTTTGGTATTAGAAGTGGCTATATTTTATATTATCTAATATCTTGTGTAAAATCCTAAGCGTGTGGTTCAGCGGTAGGGGTTGATCCATACTTAAACAAGGTTAGGGGTTTGAATCCTGTCTTGTGTATGCAGTCGCGTTAAATCTTGGGGCCAGCTATCCCACCCTTTGAGGTGCCTCCAACCTAGCGAGGAGATTAGTCACTGCTATCGGTAGTGAATACTTCAGGAACGAACCAAAATATGACTAAAAACCATTAACGGGTCCATAGTTTAAATGCTTAGAGGAATAATGACATTTATCTGCTGCAAGGCACTTGCCATTTTTCACCTCCTAAATGTTTAGGGTTTAGAGGAATAAATGTTTCGATTCACATTGGCTGTGTTGGACCTACACTAATTTAATGGTGGACAATGCATCCTTCACTTTATTTTACAAATAAAAACCTTATATTTAGTATTTAATAATTTTATATATTAAACTTATTAATAACTGTTTTCAATATTTATGTTTTATTTTTAATATATATAATTATTATTATTATTAATTTTTTTTTAAAAAAATTGTTCTCACTTACCATTGTCTTTGATCTGCTGGGACCGTCACTGCACATTGGAATTTATAAAACTCTATTAAAATAGCAGCAAAGTTATAAATAAATATTCACATATTTAATTTGTTCAAAAATTGATTGTGTTGAATCTGTTTTAGGAGGCTTTTACTTTAGACAAAAAAATATTGAATTTTATTATTAACTTTCTTTCTTTTAGAATAAAATCATCTAAACATAAATTACTTCATTCAAACTTAATTTAAACTAAAATCAATTCTCACCCAAACACTCACTTAAAGCTCATACAAGCAAGATATAATGGAATAATACACGGGGGTGGGGTGACGGGTGTTAAGATTATTTTAGGAAATATTCAGGATTTGAACTCCTGACCTTACTTAAGCGTGGATCAACCCTTACTGCTGAACCACACGCTTGGGATTAATCATTTTTTTTATTTGATTGAATAAGTAAGAGAGATTACATAAATATATTAAGTCATCTATAGGCATTTACTTTGTAGTAACTAATTAAGCAAATAATAACTGATCTCCTACTAACTTTATCTCTAACAGATTTATACTAATTAAGCAAATAGTAACTAATTGATCTATACCTTTGGAAAAGACTGAACTACCATGTACTTAGTTTTGGGGGTTTTAGGTCTCATTTAGTTTAAATTAAGCAGCAAATACACAATTGTCCAGTTCAAAGTCTGCCACTGCATTTTTTTTTAATAATGTTAGCTAATCTTTCCTTTGACCTTTAATTGGTTTACTACTTGAGAAGTTTAAATTAAATTCCTAAACTAAAAAAAATCATAATTTGACTAATTTTTTACATTTTTTTTATTTGGACTCGGAGTTTGTAAAATTGTCATAGATTATTATTTTTGTGGTGGTTTGAGGTTAGGGCCGTGGCAGTGGCAAGGCCATTGAGGCCATTACCCTCAATATATATATATATATATATATATA